CCACCCTTTCTGTCCCCAGCCCGACTCTCTCCACCTCTGCCAAAGGGTTAGTGCATGCGGGACCCAGCCCCAAACTGGAGGGGGTCGGGTGAGATGCAGTACAAGCTCCCCCCACTCCTCCCAGGGTCTAGCTCAGCTATGCGCCAGGTTTGGGGCCCCACCATTTGGTCGGGGGGGGCAATTTTACTAGCTCAGCTATGTGCCAGGTTTGGGGCCCCACTATTTGGTGGGGGGGGGCCAATTTTACCTTCGCCCTCGGGCGCATAACACCCTCGCTACGCCTCTGCTTTTCTTTCATCAGGTCTGATAACATTTCTTGTGTTCAAAGTCTTTTGGGCATGTCTTGTCTGTCCAGGCCTTAATTCAGGTGCTGAGTGCAACGCAAGAGCTTTCGTGAGTACAAACTTAGCTGTGACAGAAGCACATTTAATAGAAGAGGGGATGGTAAAAGGAGAAAGGGGAAATATACACTGAGGTAGTGAAGGATTGAAACTAGATGTGAGTTCAATGGAAGCTAATGTTCTGACAGGTGAGGGGGATGTTGACTCAATTTTACTGCCCCTGTTATTGGTTGTGCATCTAGAATTTCATTTCCCATTGATTTACCTGCTCATTTTCCTCTCAGATTGACATGTTCACTGTTTTACCACCAGGTTTCCTCACCCTGTGGCTCTGCTATTCCTAGCACCTCTCTGAACTCTGAAGGGTCTCCTTCTCCATGACCTCAACTGAAGGTGTTCGTAGAATTGGCTGCTTTGATCAGAAATGCATGACTGGAAGGCAGATAATAGTCTGGTTCTCCACATCTGATCTCTCAATGAGGGGTCAGTGATGGGGGTCAACTGTTGAAGTAAGTGTCTCATCATATGAGGAGGTTGTGAAGAAAAAAAACTGTGCTGCCTAATAAAGTGGAACAGAGTGCAGAGGGTGGAAGGAAGGAGCTGAGTTTTCTATAAATATCTTTGTTGGTTTGTGTTTAGTGAATTTCACGCTGGTGGAGGCTGCCAGATTGACAGCCCCAGAGCCTGAAGACTTCCATTTAACTGCAGAACAGGTGACAGTGCAGACAGCTGCAATGCAAACTTCCGGCCACATCCATGTGCTTTAGTATTGATCTGTAGGGCCTCATTTTAGATCTCTCTCTCAGAACATGATGGCCCATTCATTTCTGAGCTCTGATTGAATTACCAACAAGGAAAGCAATTTGTGCCAATTGTGATGCTGTAAAATGGCCCTCCAGTCCATTTCATACCAAACAAACAGTCACCAACCAGCCTTGACTTTCAACATTACTGATAAGAATCAGTGACCAGAAGGCGACATTGATATTTGATATTGACTGGCTATTAGTGCACATACTTATGCACATTTCTTGAGAAAAATCAGAGCCAGTCTGGATGAGTCCTGAGAATATGGAAGTCAGATCTCTATTCTCTAACCAGGCTGATAAGCTCTGCCGCTATTGAGTATCCAATAATTCAGTGCAAGAAGGCAGCAAAAGTATTGTCATTGTGGTACTGAGAAGAAGGGCAGATTGAATCAGGTTCACAGGAAAATATCTCCATTCTGTGCTGCTCTGAGGTTTCCTCTTGCCTCCCCTCCAAATACCCATGGGTATGCAAATAATTTCGAATAAAATTAAAGAGCTAGAAGTATATGTCATTTGGCCAGAAGATAACATAGGAGAGAATGCATAATGGAGAGGGAAGAATGTCAGGGAAAACGTCAAGTCAGTGAGATGTGTTAAACTATGAAATACTCTCCCATCATTTTTTACTTTCATAAATAGGTTGGGCAAAATGCTACAAAATTACCCGTAGAGAGCACCCTGGGAGAATAGTCTAATAGTTAAAAGTACATGCTCTGCTCTGAAGAGCTGATCAACTTAAGAGTTATTTTTCTCACTAACATTTATAATTCTCCTCTTGACAAAGGCAGTTCCATCCCTGCATTGTGTTTGCCCATTCCCTGCATAACTTTATGTGCATCAAGGTTCCATAATAATGGGGGAAGGATGGCAACATTTAATAGCATAAATCCAAGTGCTTTCCTTCTTGAACTACACTGATGCACCCAGTTCAATGAAAGGCTGGAGATGATGAAAGAGAAGAGGATGGAGACAAGTAAGTGGGTAAAACTGTGCCTTTCATTCCAAACCCTCAAGCCAGGAAAAAATCACTTGGCATCATTTTGAATAAGCAACTTAGTATTGAGGAATTTAGCGTCGCTAAAAAGTATGCTGATGTTCAATACACTTTCAAATTATCTCAGAGCCAGCTTCTAGAGAACCTGGGGCTAGTTTACAGTGTTGATATAATCCAGGCACAACACAGAGGATGTGGCTAGGTTTAATTTAGGACTTTGGGTACAAAACTCAAGGGACATCAAATCTCAAGTGAATCTGAAATTTTCAGTTCTTGTGCTCTACTGTGGATAGTGATGACTTTATGCACTGTGCTGGATGTTTGTGTGGCTGCTCCCCTTCTTAGTTACTCTCTAGTCCCTGTGTTCAAAGCAAGCCAGCATGATGGATAACAGAAGTTCTTTGACATATTGTGTCATTTATCACACAACAGCCTCAATCCCACTAACAGGGCCTTCTCCATATGTCACTGTCGGCTCCTGTGCTGCCCCAATGCATCAAAAAGAAACGTCTGAATATGAAGCACTGTAATTCCTAAATCACAGCTCGTCACAGGTTTCCACACATCAAGTTCTCTTCTATCTGCCCACTTATTTAATTTTCACCTTGTCTTACACTCACATTAAATGAACTCATCAGTGAGGCCAGGACAGAAGGAAATAAGTGAAAAGTCACAGGTATCGGAGAAGAGAGATATAGATATTACTGAACTAATAATTCTGAGAATCAAATGTGGCATCTCAGAAGGGAGCTGGAGAACACAGCCCACAATCATCGTCAAATGCCATGGGTTGATTACAGGCAACCCTACCACATCACATTTCTGTGCCAGTCTGACATAGGCAGGGAGTTCTATTATGGGCTGATGATGGAGCAGCTTGGAGACAATGCCAATAAGCTTCCTAAAGAACTGAAATTTAACCCAACTCTACAAACCTATCAAGGGTGCAAAATGAAAATTCTAGTTGGAAAAGAATTACCAGGAAGCTGTCTTTATTGCAGTATTTTGGCAATTCTGCTTCCATGGGGAACTTGAAACTGAAGCCAAAAGAGGACTGCTCAGGCCTAGTTTTGTTTTCAGTTACACCAATGATATTTCACCTAAATCACTATGTGGTGTGTCCTACCAATTAGCACAGATTCAAATCAAACTGGGGTCTTAATACAACAGCCATAATAGGTGAACCAATACAGAGCCTGACTCTGGCAAGCTGGTGTTCACTAAGGGTCTCTATCCACAATATTGCACTTACTACACTCGGACGATCTGAGAGTAGGTCTATGCTTCCACATAGGATGGATAACAACTGATTTTTTAAAAACAAAATTGGATTTTTTACTTTGTCTTTTTATGCAAAAATAAACCTATTAAAATTAATGTTGAAATGGACAACCTATGTTAAGGCCTAAACTTATTATAATCCATGAAAATACTTTATACTAAATAGAAAATATTATATTACGCAGTATATGTTTGTTGCAAAGTTTTAAAGGCAGTCAAACCACCGAATTGATGGAAGTCACCAGCTAATCACCTGGAACCAGAATATGATGATGTGCTACACCAGCTTTTGGCAGCACTAGCCTTTCCTGCAAGTGCCAAGAGAATATTGGTCTCATTTTAGTTTATTTAGCTAGTTCAGGTCAATGACTAGTTTATTCACAATTTTAAAAAAATCAATAGGATGTTGAAAAAGCCAAAAAGGTTGTTTTCAGCTTCAAAACTATGACTAAAAAGTAGGTTATAAGGTGAGATCTACTTGGTTTAAAACCACGATGTACATGATAACCAGAAACAATCAATTTAACTCATTAAATACAAATAACTATTCTGTGGTGTATTAAATCAATTAGTTGTAAAAGTAAAGCATTTTAAAAAAGGTTTTATGCATTCAGAATTTTTAAGATAGTTTTAATACAAAAATTAAAATGCTGTTTTGTGCATTTTAATTAAATTTAAATTTCTACTCGAGACTTTGATGCAACTCATAAGTAATCATTTAATAAATCATCATACGCCATCTTCTAAAGTAATACAAAATGTAAAAATTAAGAATCTGAATAAATGGAAGTTAAGCTACATGAATGCTTAAATTAATGTGCATAGGGAGAGTGTGTCCAGGTTAGCAAAAAGAGGTACCAAATTTAGCATAAAGGCTATAATTTAGTAGCAAGTCAACATGTTTTAATGGTTACCAACTAATAAGATTCAATCTTTTCTAAGAAAAACAACTAAGGTGCAAATGCAAAACATAAATACAATTGATGATTAATACAAGGTCTCTTGCTTGCTGATTTATAGTAGGATTAAAATGAGTGATTTAAATTGCTTTGGTTTAAATCAAACCATCCTCTGTGCAAAAAAAAAAAAAAAGTTCATTCTTAACTCAGGCTTACTGACTCTGGTTAAAATGACAGCAAAGACATGGGAGCTCAGCTACTAATTCCGATCAGAACCTCAACTTCACCCTAGGCTTCCCTATAGGCTTTAACTGAAGCTGAAACCCAGGGTAAGAGCCAAGTTACTGTATCTTCACAGTTATATCAATCCAAGTTTGTCACCTTGAGTCAAGAACACATCTTTTTTTTTTTTTTTGCAATGTACACATACCTAGAATGTTAAGATTTTGCCTTACTGCACTACACTGCTTAGCTTGTTTGCTACATTGTGACCCAAACTATATGTCAATTGAAAGAGGGCAGTAGGCATGTAGGGATATACAGAACCCCTGAATTCACCAAAAGAACATTATGCAAATTCTCTAATGAAAGCCTTTATCACACTTATCTTAGTTATTGAGAGATGTATTTACAGAAAATTTATGAGAAGTTTTTTATATTTATGCACAGACACGCAGAAAATTATATTCTGTAGGTCAGGGGTGGGGAACCTCAGGCCCGAGGGCCAGTTGCAGCCCCCGCCTTGCCTGATGTAGCCGTGTTAGTCTGGTGTAGCTGAAACAAAAAAAACAGGATTATGTATTACTTAAAAGACTAACAAGATAGTTTATTAGGTGATGAGCTTTCGTGGGCCAGACCCACTTCCTCAGATCAAATAGTGGAAGAAAATTGGCACAACCATATTTTCATTTGACTCTCTATCCCTTCTTTAACAAATGTCCTTTTGTTTTATGAATGAACTAGAGTTCCAAGCATAATACAGGAGCTGTGGTCTAAGGTAAAAATGGAGAACACTGCCTTTAGGAAGAGAGGATCTTAGTGATTGTCCAGCATCTAGGGCTTGATGTCACAGTGGGATACTTTGAAGTGACTCAGAGGCTGAGGTAATTCCACTATGGAACTACAAGGCAAAGGGAGCCTTGGTATAGCTCAAAGAAGAGTGCTAGTTGTATTCTCTCATGCTGGAGGCAAGTGATAAGATGATTAGAGCCCTGCAAATCTGCAGATATCCATTTTATATCCATGGGTATCCGCATCCATGGATGTGGATATGGATGCAGATATCCACGGCTCATTTTTGCGTATATCAATACAGATGTGGATACAAAGCTTGTATTTAGAACCTTACACATTCGTGGCTATCTGCTTTATATCCACAGATATCCACATCTGCTGATGTCAGTGCAGATATTTGCTGTTCATTTTTACAGCTACAGAAGCAGATGTGGATACAAATTTTGTAAGTGCACACGGCTCTGAAGATGATTCTCAGCCCTGAGTAGCACCATATGCACCATGCATGCTCTTCCTTTTTCAAATGATGAAAGGGCAAGAGCCGTAACTCTCTCAGCCCTTGCTGTTGGATCTTTCCTCTGACAGTGCATTTAGAGTCCCACCTTGCATGGCTCACTCAGAGTCCCAAGCTCTGTTCAGTATGCATGGAATAGCCACTGCCCGTGCCCCTCTGCTGAACATTCTTCCTACTTCTGATAGCCCACACTTTACATCCTGATGTTCCTGAACAATCACATAATAAACTGCAGGCTACAGCATCCACCACCAACCAGGGGAGGTGGCCACATTGCCCATTCCTCTGTACCCATGAAATATCTCTAGAGAAGCCAAGATTTAGCCTCTGTTGAGGCTATGTAAACAGCAGGTTATGCGTAGCTTCCCAACAGTATTACAGACCAACATTTACAGGAGCTATTTCATGGACTTATTTCTTATTTATTAGAATTTCCCAAGTTGGACAGATGTTACTTTAAATCATTCAAGGTAGAAATGTGTTAAGTTCCAAGCACTGAAATGCCTTTTGGCTCTCAAGAAATTATTTTAAAAATATGATTTGCTACTTTATTATGTCATTATTATGAAACTAAGTACACAGAGTTTCCATTTAATAAAAGTATAAAATAGCTGCTAAGGAATCACAGGAAAATTACAGCTGGAAAATTAGTCAATAAAACTTTATTATACTACTCTTTAACACTGTTATTAAGAGCATAAAACTGTCACATTGGGTCAGACCAATGGCCCATCTAGACCTGAATCCCCTCTCCAATAAAGTCTAGTACCAAAGCTTCAAGGAAAGTGTACAGAATAGAGTTCCACTCCAGCCTTCCCCATCCCAGTCTCTAGCAATCAAAGCTTATATGTCACATGAGCATGCAGTTATATACTTGACCATCTTAACTAATAACTATTGATGGACCTTGCCTCCATAAATCTTTTTAACCCTATCATAGTTTTGGCTGTCACAATATCCCACGGCTATGAGTTCCACAGATTAATGAATATGGAGAAACTTAACATTAATTTCTTCCCAGACAAAGATTACTGAAAAAATTCCATGGCTTTGAGGTGCTGGCTCATATTAGTCCTCTTCCTAGTTGGAACCTCCTGCTCATAGGGATTCAAACAGGACACCTTTACTAGGTGTTGTATCTTCAGGGCTGGACTCTTGATGTAGCTTTTTAAAAATGTTTTTAATTTCTGCTGCAAGTTTTAGCATATTCTGAGCCTCAGAACAACAGATTAGCATCAGTAAGAATGGTTTGTCAACCAGGTTCTCTTTGTACCCTCTGCTGAGGATGTGTAATGAGTGCATTGTGCAGAGATGCTACAGAAAGATACAAGTGACATTAGCTGGCTAGTCTCCAGGGAATCTGCAGGCCAAGTCACAAACAAGCCCTTCATTGGCTATACCTCGCTCTCTGACATTGTCAAGCTGGAGCTCTGAGACAGCACTATCATTTCTGCTTTCCTTTGCAATTGCTGCAAGTTTGACATTGAATTAAAGCTTGTCTGTATGGGTATGTCTACACTGCAGAGTTTTTCCAAAAAATTTTCTGGAAAAACTACACTTATGTCCACACTGCAGTTGCGTGCAGTTGACAGAAAGTCAAAAGAACACAGGGGTTTTTCCGACAGCGGTAAACCTCTTTCTATGATGAAGAAGCCTTTTTCTGAAAGAGCTCTTCTGGAAAAAGGCATGTGTGGATGAAGAAGAGGATTTTTTTTTCAAAAGAAGAAGCCTCCAGAAAAAATCACAGGTGCCTTGGTGACCACTCCATCTATAGTAATCCATAGTAATCACAGTAATCCATAGTAATCACAACTTAAATATGAGATAGCGTCCGATCACTGTGGATGCTATCTTTCGAAAAAGAAGATTGCTTTTTCGATGCTCTTTTGCTGTGTGGACGCTCTCTTTCGAAAGAAGTTTTTCTGGAAGATCTTTTTCCAAAAAGCTTCTTCCGAAAGAATCCTGCAGTCTAGACATAGCCTATGTATATAGGCAAAGAGGGCAGTTTAGAATGGCAACTCAGTTAAAGGCATATCACGGTCTTCATTCAGACTCCTAGGCCCCTGGGTTGACAGGTGACTGGCAAGGCCAATGACCCAAAAAATGATTAGCCAGAGACATTAGCTTACATTAAAGAAACAAGCATGAGAGTAACCCATATGAAAAAAGAATATACATGCAGTGAGATAGAATAGATCATATTTCTTGGATTGCTAGACCAGATACTTTGGATGTGCCTGTCAAATAGAAATTTCAGAACAAATCAATCCAAATTTCATAAATACATGAAGGTAACACATTTTCACAAGAGGCCACAACAAAATGCAATCACATTTGTGTGTCTAATTTGAACAATCAATTCCCACCTTGATGAGCATAAGCAAATGAAATGAATATATCAATGACCACCTAGACATCTAACACTTAACTAGTGTAATTGTGCTTCCAAATGTACACACATTTTTCAAAACACATGCGTACAATTCTAAAAATAGGGACCAAATATCTGATAATAGCAGTTATATTATAAAGATTGGACCCCATGGTCCGGCATCCTCAGGACCTGACCTATTCCAATCCAGGGATTTTGTTGGACCAGGGGAGATCAATGCCAGCCCCTCTGCTACCAGCCTCCAGCCTCTGCTCCCGGGCACTAGGCTCTGCCTCCCAGCCCCAGCTGAGTTCTGGCCCCTGGTTCTGGCCCTCAGCCTTGGACACTATGCCCCGCTCCCAGCTGATAGACTCTGGTCCCCAACCCTCATCCTGGGCTGATGAGTTCCAGCTCCAGCAATCAGCCCCAGAGCTCCACTTCCAGCCTGGCTCTCTGGTCCAGCAGCATCCACGATCCTGCTGCACTGGATTTTCCGCATGAGTGCTCCAACCCCAGAGCACCAAAGGAGTCCCAGACTATGCTGCACCATGAATGTTACCAGACCAGAAAGTCCCAGACTAGAGAGGTTCAACCTGTCCATGTATATGGACAAGGAACACTGTTCCACATTTATGGCTCAACTGAACACAAGCACCTGATTTGTCCGATCATAGAAAAGCTCAAGAAGAGTTAGCGACTAGAGAATTGTACATGCATCTCAGTTAGTTCATGCAAATCAAGTGCCTACCAGATGTGCATACAATCTGGTGAGTGGTAACATATGCACAATTTTTGTGGGCCCAGAATCAGAAGATACCACTGAAAAGATATTTTCTATAATATTACTTTCTAATATGAAATCTAAATACATTTTCATGCTCATTGCATAAGTTTTTAAGAGATAGTCAAAATGATTAGAGAAACAAATGGGACAAAGGGACTTTGATTGCATTCAGGTAATATTTCTGAATTTCTGGTGCACATGATTCACTATCTACCTCACAAACTCTGCTTATCTATCTTGTTTAGGCTGTTACCTGAGGGCTCTATAACAAACTAGTTCAGCCCAGAGAGACAACTGTTAAGTGTTCGTGTGGACAGCAAACAGCTGCCATATACCACCTCAGGGTGGATGCATTTAAGCACTTTACTAATTGATACCTGTATACATACAATAAATAAAGCTAGTACAGCACTTTGTGATCCTTTGGGATGAGGTGCCATATACTAATTACTATTATTAAGTCTACAGAATCAGGCCTGACACATTCCTTTCTGTAAAGGGAAAGTGTATGCGTAAAGCTAGTTCATTGCAAATACTAGCTATGAGCCAGACTTCTGTGTAACTAAGAGACCGTGTAATGGAGGGATGCACTTAATTCAGATAATTTCCGCTACTTACAGCAACATGGGCTTTTTCTCAATATTATTTTTATTTACATAAAGCATTGTGAGTGTTGAAAGCTCACAGACATTGATAAAGACTATTTGATTTTGTCAAGAACATATGCTAGATGGGATTACATGCTGCTCAAATCTGTATAGAGTGAGATGGAGAAATCACACTGTTCAAGAGTGCCCTCACCTGCATTTTAGGGAAAAAGTCAGGTACTTTTAGGACTTAAAAGTATCAGGTGGAACACTTCACCAATACTCATCCCATGATGATCTAGAGTTAATATATGCAGGGGAGACAACAGGTTTGCCCATCTGCTGAGCAAGGTGGTAAGGGTGAGGGGGAACAGCGCCATGCTCTCAGAAGGGGTGAGGCCTCAGGTGGAAGGGGCAAGGTTGTGAGCAGCCAGCTCTTAGCATTGCATGGAGCCTGCTATGCTGGTCCCCTCCCCTCTCCCCCTCTGCCACGCAGTGCTCTGG